GGTCTGGACCAGAACCCGCCGGGTGGGGAGGAGGACAGATCCGAGCGCACGGACAGGTGACTTTGGATGGAGGATGTGGGACGTGAGGTCAGGATGGTGCCGGGCTCCCTGCCTGTGTGTCCCGGCCCCCCAGCCAAGGCCAGGGCCTGCCAGGTGACTGCCGGCCGTTCCAGGAAAGCAGATACTTTGGAGGACCTTGTCTGCCTGTGACAGGAGTCACCGGTTCTGGGCTCAGTGGAAGCCCAGAGGCTCTGAGGCAATCAGGAGAGCTGCTGAGGCCCAAACCCACCGCTGCATGGAAACTGGGAAGCCATCGAGTTCTCAGAGAGAACAGAATCAGTTTGCTTCCTTCGGGAAGCAGCTCCTCTTGAATGGGACCTCGGCTTTGGGGCCTGAAGACCTGGGGGCCGGGGGGCTCTCCCTGCTTTGGCTTGGGAAGGTGTAAGGGCAGCAAAGCTAGGCGAGCCCCATGGGCTCAGAGAAGCAGGGCATTGTGGGGTCTGTAGTCCCCTCGCTGCCTGCTTTCCCCAGGATGGTGGCTTCTCCACCCAGCTCCCCTAGGGTCCCGACTTGGAAAATAAGTGATTCCCTCGAGTTACGTGGCACAACCTTCCCAGGAGGCGGGTGCTTAGAGGGTGGGCGGACCTCAGCCTGGCAGCAGGGCTGCGGGCTGGAGGGACTCCGGCTTGGCCCTGGCCTGGGCTGAGCAGCCATCCTGCACTCCTCGAGGTCATTGCTGAGAACCATGCTTGCCAAGTGGTGGAGCCCTCCCCCGGGCAGGAGGTATGTTTACCTGTCTGCTTCCTAGTTGGTGTTTTTATCCTTTTTTAAATATATATATATATATTTTATTTATTTTTTATAGAGAGGAAGGGAGAGAGAAAAACATCGACCAGCTGCCTCCTGCATACCCCCTACCGGGGATGTGCCTGCAACCAAGGTACATGCCCTTGACCGGAATCGAACCTGGGACCCTTCAGTCCGCAGGCTGACGCTCTATCCACTGAGCCAAACTGGTTTCGGCTGTTTTATCTTTTTAGGAAGATGCACCGTTCAGTGGCTCGGGCCTGCCGCTCTCACGTGCTGCTCTGAGCCGCGAGCTGCGCGGTTGCTAGGTGACAGACGTGGCACGCGGCTCCCTGGGCCTCGGAGCCCCTCCCGCTGTGCTTTCAGTCCCGGAGGCCTTCCTTCCAGCGGATGCATGGAGCCTCGTCTCCCGTGCTGCCGGAGAAAGCAGCTGTAACAGCCCACCCGGCTGCTCCGGGGGATGACTCCGGTCCGGTGGGCTGGCTGTCAGAGTGTCCCCACAGCGCCCGCGTAGCTCAAGGGAATCATTTATTTTCCAAGTCGGGACCTCAGGGGAGCTGAGTGGAGAAGCTGCCATCCTAGGGAAAGCAGGCAGTGAGCTCTCAGCTGACAGGTGGCATGTCACAGGCCGACAGGTGCGGCGGCTGGAGCCTGGGGCACGCAGGCCTCACTCTCACCCGCGTGCACGGGCGGGGACGGGGGGTGAGGGGGAGAAAGGGGTGCTCCCAGGGTGTATGCAGAGCTGACGGGGCCCCAGAGATCATCCAGACCCACCCACTTCGCACACAGGGAGAGCGAGACCCTGAGAGGTGAGGGCGATGGTGGCACGGTGCCCTGCACCTCGCCGGCCTTCTGATGCCTGGATGGCGGCCGTCTCCCCACCGGCAAAGGGAGGAGCAGAGAGGAATTCTGGGTCCGTCTCTCCCTGGGTGCTGGTCCTCAGGCTGCACTTTGGGCTCACTGGCTGGGTTTATGTTGGATTCCCATGCGCTGGTCTGCAAGCTGACCTTTCCTCTGCTGCTGGCCTCACCTCTTTCAAAGCACAGCGAGAACAGACGTGAGGGGGCCTGGGTGCTGACAGCTGTGCGACCTGGGCGGCATCTACGTCCCTTCCCTTCTAGGTGCGAGGGATCCAGCCGCGAACAAAGTAAGCCAGATGTCTATTCCTGTGGGAGTCACCTATTTCTCCTAGAAGGGCCAGGTGCTAAAGAAAGAAGCAGACATAGAAGGGCAAGGGGTGATCCTTGCTGCGGAGAAAAATAACACGGGGTGGCTGCGGGGGTGGCAGCCTGGAGGGCTGCTAATTTAGTCTCCGGAAAGGCATTCCCAAGGAGGACGCATTTGAGCAGAGGCACTCGGAAATGTATGTCAAGTGAGCAATGGAGCGATAAATGAATGCATGCATGAATGAATGAATGAAGGAATGAATGAATGAATGGAATAGGAACCCTCAAACCCAGGTCTGTCTGACTTCCAGGCCCCCCGATCTTCACCGCCAGCGCCTTCCTCCTGTGCCCGTCCCCGAGGAGTCTGAGCCCGTGGCTTTGGGCCGTTCACTCGCTCTCCGGGCCTCAGGGTCCCCATATATACACTGAGGACGGGGCCGGGGCCCCTCAGGCTTTCCTGGTCTAAGTGCCAGAGTCGGGCATTGTCACCTGAGCACGCTCCCTGGGTCTCACACCGGCTCTTCGCCTCCTGCAGACCGGACGGCACGGGAGGCCCTGGGCCCGTCCCGGAGCGCGGGGTGCCGGCACGGCAGGGGTGTCTTGAGAAGAGGGGAGATGCTCGTATTGAGCTGTTCCTTGCGGTTTCCCTGATGCGGCTGTGGCATCTCTCCCTGGCTTCACCACAGTGCGTCCGTTTTGTCCTTGAGCCCTGCTCGTCTAAAACGATATGCCCCCCTTCTCCCCCGCTCCCGGCCCTTTTTCATACCGGTGACCAGAGCGGCCGCTCACCGGGCTGTTTATGGGGGAGCATGCTCTCCAATGGGTCAGCAGCGAGATACATTCTGCAGACTTGCGGAATCCCCCTTGCTTCGCTTCAGTTGTGGCAGGATGTGCAGTAAATCAAGCCTAATGCGTTGCAGATCGCCCTGATCAGATCCTGCTGCCGGCGGCCCCGGAGACAGGCTCGGGGCGGAGGCACCCCGCCGACTGCAGTCTCCGGCAGGACCCGGCCCTTCTCTCCGCTCCAGTTTTAAGCAGCATTCTCCGTGTCAGCCGTAGGGGAGGCGGGGCAGCTAGATGAGCGGCCATGGTGGGTGCCGTAGGCCTCCCGGTGGCATGGTGCCTCGGGCGGCATCTGCTTTGTAGCCTGGGCAGGACAGCCCCCCCGGGGAAGGCTGCGGACGGAGGGTCCATGGACACACACGCTCCCACCTCGGGGCATCTCCAGGACACAGCGGGCTGACCCGCTGCAGAGCCCCGGCAGAGAGCAAGGTGTATTCCGGGGAATTCCGGGGTCTCCTTGGCAAGCTGGCTCCGTCCCAGTCTCCCCAGAGCCCAAGCCCCTGACTGTTCCTGGGCTGGCCAGGGGCAGCCCCTGAAGACTCACTGTTCCCACTGATGTGGTCCAGGGTCTGGCCTGGGAGGGTGGGCTCACCCTGCAGACCAGCGTGGACAGCGGTCCCCATCGGCCAGGCCTCCCGGCCTCATCCGCAGGATCCAGCCGGCCAGGTCCCCTGGAAGTTCCGTCTTTGCTGGAGTCACTCAGAAGGGGTGGGCTGAGGCCAGCAGGGAGGGCAGCCGGGAGCCGGCTTCCAGAGGCAGCTCCTCCCAGGAGTTCGGCAATTACAGAGCCGGGCCGTTTACATCGCTGGGAAGATGCAGGGCAACTGCAGGCCAGGTGTCCATGTGTTTAATTTTACATCCTCCGACGAGGAAGTGCTTTGAAATACAGCAGAATGTGGGGGTCCTTCAAAGGAGTCGCTTCCTTGGTGCTTTGTGTGTTTTTTTGAGGGGAGGCATGAAAGACGGAGGAGGGACGGCAGGGGAGCGCGCAGACGTTATCTGCTGTCACTCTGCCGCTGAGGGACGCAGAGCCGGCTCTTGGCCGCAGTGGCCCTCAGGTAACGTCACTGGTGAGCGATGACCCGGGGTTTGCTGGCACCGAGCAGACACCTCCAGGGCTCTGGGCTCTGGTGCCGGAATCCTAGCCACGCCTGGTCCGTGCGTCTGCCTGTGGATGGAGAGGAGGAGCAGAGGCTGGTGTGAGAGCTCTAACCCTCTTCCCACCCCATAGTCACATCCCTCTGAATCCCCTGGAGATCCTATAAAAATATGAGAAAGATTGAACTCGTGTGGAGTGGGCCTGGCACTCTGCATGGCTCACGGCCCCTGAGATGCTGCTGGCATATGACTGGGTTTTTTTTTGTTTTTGTTTTTGTTTTTAAATCATTAATCTGCTGCATCTTTTTTTTTTCTCTAACACATTTTATTGATTTTTCGCAGAGAGGAAGGGAGAGGGATAGAGAGTTAGAAACATCAATGAGAGAGAATCATCCATCAGCTGCTTCCTGCACACCCCCCACTGGGGATGTGCCTGCAACCAAGGTACATGCCCTTGACCGGAATCGAACCCGGGACTTTCAGTCCGCAAGCCGACACTCTATCCACTGAGCCAAACTGGTCTCAGCCCACGACTGTTTTGAACAGAAAGACCCTTCCCAGAGGAGGTAGCCACTGGCCTCCCGGGCCCCAGCAGGGGGTTCGGGCTCAGCAGAACAGAGAGCGTGGACGTGGGACAACCTGCGGAGCCCTGGCGCCCGGGCGGGCTTGAGCACTTGGATCTGCATGTGGGAGCGGAGTGGTGCTGCCGTGGCAGCCCTGGACTGGGATTCGGTGTCTGGCGTGGCCTCCTTGGCCTGGTTCAATGTTTCCTCCTAAGGATGCTCCGTGAAGGCCTGTGGGAAACTGAGTCCCGATGGGGCGAGGGGCCAGCTCAATAATTCATGCCCCTGACCAGCTCCATGTGTGTGTGCGTGTGTGTGTGTGCGCGTGTGTGTGCGTGTGTGCGTGTGTGCGTGTGTGTGCGTGCGTGTGTGTGCGCGTGTGTGTGTGTGCGTGTGTGCGTGTGTGTGCGTGCGTGTGTGTGCGTGTGTGTGGTGGTGTGGGTGGTGGTGTGTGTGTGTGTGTGTGAAGGGAGTGGATTTCGTTGGTCGGCCCGCTAACCCTCCCCTGCTCCCTGCTTCACAGGTCCCGGATGCGACGGCGCTGACAGCCGCCGAGTCCCACCTTCTCTGAGTGCCGGGGAGCAGGGCCGGCGGCCCCGGTGGCCCCGATGCCGAAGCACAGCAAGGTGACCCAGCGCGAGCACAGCGGCGAGCATGTCACGGAGTCGGTGGCCGACCTGCTGGCCCTGGAGGAGCCGGTGGACTACAAGCAGAGCGTCCTGAACGTGGCGGGCGGGCCGGGCGGCAAGCCGGCGGCGGCCGCGGAGGAGGAGCTGGACGCCGAGGACCGGCCGGCCTGGAACAGCAAGCTGCAGTACATCCTGGCCCAGATCGGCTTCTCCGTGGGCCTCGGCAACATCTGGCGGTTCCCCTACCTGTGCCAGAAAAACGGGGGCGGTAAGAGGCAGCCTCCGGCCCCGGGCGCCTTGCCAATGGGCTGGGCCGAGGGGTGAAAAGGAACCCCCTCCTTCCCCTCCCCCCACCCTGGGCAGAATGGGAACCCTTGTAGGTTGGAGCTCAGGGTTGCAGAGTAAGACCCCTAGGGACTGCTAAGCGCGGAGTAAGAACCTGGATGGCCATGGTTCAAGTCCCTGCCACGCCGGTCAGCTCTGTGCATGCAGCTTCAGCTCCTTATGCCTCTTGGTTCCTCATCTGTAAAATGGGAGCCATAGTCACCCCTGCCGTACAGGAGAGCTGGGAAGATGAAAAGAGCTTTGCACATAGAGTGGCTTTGCACGTAGAGTGCTTATAACACGGTGTCTCACACACGGTAAAGAGCCGCTTCTGGCCATCATATTACATGCTTACTGGGTGCCAGGCCCCATCCTAAGCACTTACTGGACGTTAGGCTGAAATAGATGAGACCGCTGAGCATCTTGGAACAGTCAGAGCATCAGTTTCATGTGGTTCAACCATGGAATCCCCTCAGCAACCCCACCTTGTTATCATCCTCACTCAAGAGACTACAGAACGGAAGTACAGAGAGGTTAGGCAATTTGCTCAAGGCCACACAGCTACTGATGGAATCAGGGTTCAAGCCTGGACAGCTTGGCCCCAGGGTCTGCGCACACAATCGCCACACCTAGGAGGGGTCCTCCTGCTGCTCGCTGAGTTTGAATCCCCCTAAAGGATCTTATTCTGACATCAAACCTCTTCTCCCGAGAGTCTGGGTCTCAACCACAGCCCAAGACAGAATAAGTTATAAGACTGACCCGCCCTCCTGTTAGGGCCGTGATGGGGCTGCGGGTCAGTGACGCTTGGCACTGGTGTATGCATGTGTGTGTGTGAGTGAGCTGCTGCAGTGTGTGAGCTCAGTGTGCTGCCTGCCCTGGAAGCCTTTCCCAGTTAGCTCTGTGGTCAGTTGGTTCTGTGTGTGTGTGTGTGTGTGTGTGTGTGTGTGTGTGTGCGTGTGCATGTGCTGACATTGCTCATGCGCACCTGGAGGTTCTGCCGTGGCTCCCAGGATAGGGTCGGACCCTCTGTTGTCCTGATGTCCCCTCATTGCTCTGCCTGGTACAGATCAGATAACAACTGACTGTTGCCCGGTGCCAGGTCTGGGGCCCAGGAGACGCCCATCCCTCGGGTTTGTTGGCAGATGGAGCACATACTGGGGAGCATGTGGGGTGTCATGGGAGGGGGCAGAGCGGCGAGGCTGGAGGCTCTATGGGAGACTCCCAGCCCCCTGGGCGTGGTCTGGGGTGCTGGGTGACCATCAGGGCACTGGTGGCTGGCGCTGGTCTGGCCCCATTAGGCGGACGGGCAGGGCTGTGCCAACAGCATTGCTAACAGGACTGACTAGGTCATTGGCACAGCTCTCGGCGGGATCGCTCGTCTGTGTCCAGACAAGGCTTTAATTTTCCTGCTAAATGCCCTGTCACTGGAAACGAGATTGTCTGCTGTGAGGCCCAGGACAGAGCTTAATTCATCATCTGGAATCTTCAGCGATTCCGTTCTCTCCTCACCATCCTCCCAGCTCCGCTGTCCTGAGCGGCTCGGTTCTCCCCGCTCCTCCCACTTCGCTGTAGACTCACGGCCACGCTGGTCAGACCCGTCTCCCTGCAGGCCTCTGAGCCCGGCCCCACTTGGTCTTTCCCCCGGGGCCGCTCCACCTGGGCTGCTGCTCTGTGGCGGGAGGGTGGCGAACAGGTGTCTCCAGAGGGCATCGCTGCGCCAGTGTGTCTGCCGGCGAGTGACTGGATGTGTGGATTCTGAGAGGCAGTGCAGGATCTGTCTGCCCACCTGCCTGTCTGTCTGTCTGTCTGTGGGTCTATCCTTGTAAGCGGGAGGCGTTGGTGTACCGTGGACCCTCCCTTCGTTGTTCAGGTGGGGAATCCCTGGAAGGGGGAGGGTTTGGATGAGCACAAGGCCCGGGGGTGGTTGGAGATGATCGGGGATGTGGGCAGGACGGTAGGACTGGCTGCCAGCCCTCCTCACCCTGGTGCCAGCCTCAGACACCTTTTCTACCCCCCTCTCCTCCCAGGTGCCTACCTGGTGCCCTACCTGGTGCTGCTGATCATCATCGGGATCCCGCTCTTCTTCCTGGAGCTGGCCGTGGGCCAGCGCATCCGCCGCGGCAGCATCGGCGTGTGGCACTACGTGTGTCCCCGCCTGGGCGGCATCGGCTTCTCCAGCTGCATCGTGAGTCCGGAGCCGCCCGGGCCTTCCCGGAGGCCAGGGGCCGCTCTTGGGGGCGGGGTCTCCAGACAGGAGTCCTGGGCCAGGGCAGGGCAGGGAAGGAGCCCTCTGTGTGGGGATGGCTCCCGGCAGGTGTCTTGGGACCATCATTTTCTAGACGGGAAGCTGTTTCCGCTGCCTGGAGCAGGGCAGACACTTGGGAATGTGATGAAGGCGGGAAGGCCAGGGCATGTCACAGGGGAGCAGGGACATCTCTGCTGGAGTCTGGGGACATGCAGGCCACCCCGGTCCTCCGCTCTGCCTGCCAGCCCGTCAGCTCCCCTCGAGCGAGGCCCTTCCTCTCTCCTCGGGTAGAGAGTAAGGGAACTGGGCAAGTGGGCGGCAGGAAAAGGCAGCCCGGGGCACGCTCATGGGCAGAGCCGGAGGCGGGTCAGACAGGAGCGGCCGGAGGGGGGAAGCGTTGGCACCGAGGGAGGCGGGAGACCCCCAGACAGGGAGCTTTGAGAGGCGCTCGGCGCCCCCACCGGCCTGCTCAGCGCTGTGGGGAGGACGGCGAGCCCCCCTGGGGGATGAAGCCCAGGTGCCCACGCTCACCGGGGACGGAACCGGGATCTGCTTCGGAAAGGGGCCGAGGACGCTGTCGGACGTGGCAGCGGGGCCAGCCCAGCCGGCTCGGGCCGGGCCCGGGGGAGGGTCAGCGCCGCTGCCTCACGCTGGGCATCGCTCTGCCCAGGTGCACAGGGCACACAGCCCGCTGTGCTGGGGCTGCCGGGAGCGGAGGGGGGCCCCTTGGACCGAAAGCACGCAAGCAAAGGAGTGGGCGCCCCTCTCCCTCTGTGTCTCCGTCTGCTCCCGCACACCGGAGCTTGGGGGGAATCAGGGGAAATGGGTGCAGCGAGGGGCCCTCCGCGGTCTCGCCGACCAGCAGGGTAACGTGAGAACATGGCCGCCCCGGGAGGTGGAGGGCCTGTCCCCGTCCGGGCAGCCAGAGAAAGCGCTGCTGCGAAGAGGCGCCCGGGAGCCCCTGTCAGTTCTGCCAAAGGGGGTTCTGTTGTTCCCAAGAAATGAGACGTGACAGCCTCCAGGACGTGAGAGACGGGAACGGACGTGTCGAGGCAGCTGCAGACTGTGCGAAGGGAAAGGAGTGTCCCGAGGGAAGGGTGGGGGGGCACCACGGGAAACCAGTAAGAAGCATCCAGAAAGTCTCAGAAGGCACCCCCGTCTGGGCATAGGGACCAGGGAGGCAGAGCCGGACGGTCCCACCTCCCAGGGCAGCTCTGAAACGGGGCCGCCGAGCCCTCGGGAAGGGGTTGGTGGTGCTCGCAGCCTTCAAGGAGAAGGAGGAACTGGAAAGGATTAACGTATTTCACGCGCTTATTGCTCGGAGGAGAGAGCTTTATATGGGAAGCATTCCTGGGCGGATTCTTTGAATGCCAGAGGAACGAGGGTGAGGAGGGCGTCGGCTGCTCCTCCTCCAAGGCTGTGCCCTGCCCGGCCTCCGGTGGGGATAGGCAGGGAGGCAACTTCCTGCCGCCCCCATGACCCCTGCCCACGGGCACTCGTCCTCAGGTCTGCCTCTTCGTGGGGCTGTATTATAACGTGATCATCGGCTGGAGCATCTTCTACTTCTTCAAGTCCTTCCAGTACCCACTGCCCTGGAGCGAATGTCCTGTCGTCAGGAATGGGACCGTGGCAGGCAAGTATGGGGGCCCCTGAGTGTGACCAGCGGCGACCCCAGCCAGCCCTGTCCCAGGAAGGAGCCAGATGAGCCGGAGAGGCTTAGACACAGATTTGGGGTTGCGTTGACGCGCTGTGTTCCTTTGAAGAAGACACCTGCCCTCTCTGATCCTCCTTTCCCCTTTGGATGCCCTCTCCCCAGCCTGCAGTTCTTAATGGGATGGAAAGAACTAGCGAGTGCAGGAGGAACTCTGCCAACGGGGACGCTTCTTTAGTTGTCACCCACCACCCTGTGCTGCACAGATACCACCCTCTCCTGAAACAGTTTTATTATGTTTTTAATTGATTTTTTTACAGAGAGGAAGGGAGAGGGATAGAGAGCTAGAAACATCGATGAGAGAGAACCATCGATCAGCTGCCTCTTGCACACCCCCCACTGGGGATGTGCCCGCAACCAAGGCACATGCCCCGGGCTGGAATCGAACCTGGGACCTTTCAGTCTGCAGGCCGACGCTCTATCCACTGAGTCACACCGGTTTCAGCAAGTTTTAATGTGTATGCACTTTCCATCAAGGCCTGGATGGTGTACCCCACCTCGCAGCTGGGCAAATCGAGGCCCAGAACAACTGCCCTGGCCACACCACCGATGTCACCAAGGGAGGGAAGCCAGGGCTTCTACTCCCAGCTCAGGCCCTCCCCCAGTCCTGCCTCACTCTTCCTGCCCCCCACAGACCGGCGCGGGCAGGGGGGGCCTGAGCGGGAACACAGAGTCCTGAAGCCTCCCAGGCCCTGTCGGGAGCCCAGGAGTCCTCGGGGTCTTGGGTCAGCTGCCCCCTGGCCCCTGCTGCCTGGGTGGGGGTCCAGGCCTCGCCACCAGGGGGCACTGAGGCCCTGCTGCCCTTGCAGTGGTGGAGGCGGAGTGCGAGAAGAGCTCAGCCACCACCTACTTCTGGTACCGGGAGGCCCTGGACATCTCCAACTCCATCTCGGAGAGCGGGGGCCTCAACTGGAAGATGACGCTGTGCCTCCTCATGGCCTGGACCATCGTGGGCATGGCCGTGGTCAAGGGCATCCAGTCCTCGGGGAAGGTGAGCTGGGAGGGGCGCTCGGACCCCACGGCCTGAGAAGAGGGTGGAGGGCAGGGGGCCGAGAGACCAGAGTGGCCCCACGCAGGGTCCTGTGGGTGGGCTTGGCCTCTGGGCGACCGGGATGAAGTCACAGGCTCCCGAGGTGGCGGTGGAGTGTCATTGCTGCAGCATCGTTCCCTGTGGACAGTCCCTCAGAGTGGCCCCACCCGGGTCTCTGCAGGGCAGCCCAGCCGAGCCCCATATACCTTCTCCCACGGCTCCTTCCCTCCAAAGAGGCTCTGCTTCTTGGTCACGTGTCACCATTCATGCATGGCCAGGCCTGGAGGGGGCGTTAGGGACCCTGCAGCCCAGTCCACTTCTTTGTCAGATGAAGAGACTGAGGCCGAGGGAAGAGAAAGCACCCTGAGGTCATACAGTCAGCCTGTCCCGGAGCTGGGATTGGAGCCCAGCTGGCCGGGGCCTCGGGTTCTTTTCCAGACTTAGAGCAAGGAAGCTAAGCCTTGGGAGCCGGAGCGTGGTCTCGGCCCCCTCCTCTTCCCTCTCCAGAGCCCAAAATTGTAGCCGAAACTCTGTGGCCCTGAGTGTGCGAATGCCTGTGACCCACAGCCACCTTATGAGTTAGGCGTTACTGTACCCACTTTTATAGACGAGGCATGCTAAGTCCACAGCTCAAGATCACGGGACTCATACGTGTCTAGCTGCAGACACGCATGCTCCTGACGGCCACGCCGTCTGCCCAGCAGCCCTTCAGATCTGTGTCAGTGCAGCCAACATGGCGTGAGCATCTTCTTCGCACGAGGCCCTGTGCCAGGCACATGGGGATGTGGAAACGCACAAGAGACACACATGCTAGAACACGGGACGTGATTTATAACCACAGAGGCAGGACCTCCTTCTGATGTTTTGGCTCGGGAGCCATGACTGTAACCTCCTGGAGGCCTTCTGTCAAAGGCCTCTCAGGACAGGGGAGACCCTCAGGGGGCCTGCTGGAGCCAGGGACAGAGACGCAGGCTCCAGACATGAAAAAAGCCGAGGCAGGGAGAGCAAAGGGCTCCTCGCCCCCCGCCCCCCGGGCGCCCTGGGGGATGGTGGGCGGGGTTGCGAGCCCAGCCATGCTGACTCCAGCTTTCTGGGCTCCTGTTTCTGCCTTGGCTCCGGGCCAGACATGCGGCGGGGTTGGCCCGGTGCCCAGGGTCCCGGGCTCTGCTCTCTGCAGCCATCGGCGCGGCTCATGTGCACCAGCTGTGAGGGGCGGGGCGGGGCCTGCTGCAGGAGGGCCCTGGCCCACGGCGGCCCCTGTCTTCCCTGCAGGTGATGTACTTCAGCTCCCTCTTCCCCTACGTGGTGCTGGCCTGCTTCCTGGTCCGGGGGCTGCTGCTGCGCGGGGCGGTCGACGGCATCCTGCACATGTTCACGCCCAAGGTAGGCGCCGGGTCCGTCGGCCTTGTGGGCATCACGGGGCCCTGGAGGGATGCCCTGAGGGCAGAGCCCCGAGGGAAGGGACGTCACATTTATTGGGGTGAAATCGGAAGCAGCGTCAGGGAGGAGGTGACACGGGAGCTGAGCCTCGGGGAGCAGGGAGGATTTCATGAGCCGCAGGAGGGCGTTTCGGTCAAAGGGACCGCGTGAGCATGCATGTGGGAAGCATCGGGCGTGCCTGAGGGAAGCCAGGCGTGGCTGGAGCACGGGGACAGGGAGGGGGGCATTCGTGGGTGCAGCTGTGAGAGCAGAAACCAAGAAGGTGCCTCAGAGAAGGAGTCTCCCCCCGTGAACCCCAGCTTATACACGGATAGTGACCACCCTCAGCGACTCCGTCCACATCTCCCGTGGCCCGGGGAGGGGGCCAGGCCGGACCACTGTGCCTGTGTCACATGCCCGCACAGACGTCCTGAACACAGTCACCCAGGCTTCTCCCGGTGGTCCCTGCCCACATGTGTCCCTGCCTCCCCGTTTCCCTTTAGACCAGTGGGCACAGCTGGCATGTGCCAGTCCCCTGAGGAGCAAGAGAATGTCAAATGCAGGTTGGGGTGTCCTTCAAGGTGCCCCAAGCAATGGAATTAGTAACCCCTGTGGGCAGGCTGAGAAGCTCACCCCCAAATGCCAGCTGACCAGCCACCAGCAGGGGCCTGGGTCAGGACCCCCCTAGGTTCAGGTCTTAGCGTTGGCCTTCAATAGTGCCATGTCACATGTATATCACACGCACACGCACATGCACACACACACACACACACGCACGCATGCACACAGTTACACAGATCGCACAGGGAGAAGAGCCCTGATCCAGTGGGTTTGAGACCCCCTTCCCTCCCCACTCCCCCCTGCGCGCAGCTGTGTACAGCTCCTGGTGTCGGGGGTGGCAATGTGCAGGACACACGGCTCCATCGCCGCCAGACCGCAGGAGCCGGCCCTCGGCATGCTGGGAAGTGACTTCTGATGTTGCCATGGGAACCACCGCGGCGGTCCCCTTTGCGAAGCACTTAGTGAATCTCGGGAGGCATGAGTGTGACTCGGGCCATGTGGCCGGCGCGGGCGGTGGTGAGCGCGTGGTCTCTGACAAAGGAGAGAAACGCAACCCGCTCGCTTTGGGGGAAACCAGCTCTGAGAAGAAAGCCGGCTGTTTTATGAATGACTTCAGCCCTGTTTCTAGAATCTTGCCTGTTGCGAGCAGTGGAGTCTCTCGGTTTTACTTCACTGAGCTCGGTGAGCGGAGGACAGACTTTGGAGAGGGTGGTAAACGTGGAGATGGTAAACCAGGCCTCCAGATGGGCCCTGCTGCGGGAGGAGAGCCGGGGGCTTAATTCCAGGAGCCAGGGAGCCGGGCTGTGACGCCGGCTGCTGAGCTGAGCACAGACGGTGCTGCTCCCGTTTAATTCAGGAGCTCTTTACGACATCTTGTGGCTTCGTCTCGGGCATAGACTAGGAAACACACACACTTAATAACATAGTAAATATTCTTAAGAAAGAAAATATCGCAGGTGCCGTATCAGTACAGCGCTCCCTGACCCCACACCCTTCCTCCCCAGGGATCAGCCCTGTCCTGAATTGGGGTTTCTCCTGCCGCTACCTGAAAGGTTTGTTTTGTTTTTAAACATGCGTGCATGTCCATCAGCAACACACAGCCATTGGCGCACACTTCTACACTTCACACGAATGGCATCATGTTATAGCAGCCTTGATTTTGTTTTTGCTCCACACTTCGGAGATGTTGCTGCAGTGATATGTGTAGCTCTAGTGCGTCCGTGTTTGCCTCGGTCTAGTATTTCACCGCAGCACTGGGCTCGGAGGGATGAATTCAGTCTCCGGGTGACGGTCACTGAGGCTTTTCCCAGCATGCTCCGTTGCTAGTAATGCTACAGTAAACAGGATGGCACAGGTCTTCGTGGGTCCGGGCTCTCGGGGTGTGCGTGTGGGAGTGGAACTGCTGTCCCAGAGGGCATGCTGGCTTCAGTATGACTAGATGTTGGCCACATTGCTCCAAAGAGGTTGCTTCTGTGAACACCCTCACCAGCTGGTTATGTGGCTCCACGTTCGCTATATTTCAGGTATCCTGTGGGTGCAGAATGGTGGGTGTGCGTTTCGAACAGCAGCAGCGGGCGCTCCTTCCTAGCACCCTTTCCCGGATGTCCGGGAAGTGGTGTGATCCCACTGGAGCAGGGGCCAGGGTCTTCCTGAGGCCAAGTGTAAAGAAATAAACCCAAGCCAAAACCGGTTTGGCTCAATGGATAGACCGTCGGCTTGGGGATTGAAAGGTCCCGGGTTCGATTCCGGTCAAGGGCATGTACCTTGGTTGCGGGCATATCCCCAGTAGGGGGTGTGCAAGAGGCAGCTGATCGATGACTCTCTCATCGATGTTTCTAACTGTCTATCTCTCTCCCTTCTTCTCTGTACAAAATCAATAAAATATATTAAAAAAAAAAAAAAGAAAGAAAGAAAGAAAGAAAGAAAGAAAGAAAGAAAGAAAGAAACCCAGGAGGCCCTGGAGGACTCAGGTCCCCGAGAACCAGCAGGCGGGCCCTGGCCCTCTGAACCTTGTGCCTCTCAGTCCGGATGAAATCTGTGGGGTCCATCCATCTTGAGACCTTGCCCGCTGAGCAGTTATGGGGCAGCTCCTGCCGTTGACCCCGGCGGGATGTATTCCACAAGGACGGGGGGCCTGGAGGTCAGCCACGTCCAGAGCTGCCCGGAGGTCAGGTCCTGAGGACTGAGAAATGGCCGGGGCACTTGGCCACAGAGAGGTCGCGTGATCTTGGCAAGAGCGGTTGAGGGGGTGGCGTGCTGGGGACAGTCTCCTAGGAATGGGTTTGCGGGAACATGGAAGGTGAGAACTTGAAGACAAGGAATGGAAAACATTTATTTTCGGGAGTCCTGCTGTAACGGGCACAGACACGAGAAGCAGGGTGCTGACTGGACAGGGTCATGAGATCAAAGGTGTTATTTCAGGATTTTATACAGAAATAAGCCCTCAGACACGGCCGGCAGGGCTGAAAGAACAAGCTGCTCTGGGAGAACAATCTGGCAGTTCCTCAAAAGGTTAGACAGCGCTAGCATGTGACCCAGCAGCTCCGCTCCTGGGCACGCATCCAAGGGAGCTGAAAACACATGTCCACACGGAAACGTGTATACAAGGGTGCACGCACCATTGTTCGCAACAGCCAAACAGCAGAAGCAGCTCCAACACCCATCAGTGGACGGACGGACGGACGGACGGACGGAAAAGTGGAGAACGGTGTATCCGTGAGACGGGCTCTGTACCCAGCTGTCACAGGCGTGCATCTCCCGGTCATGTGTGCGTGAGCCTTGAAGACATGACGCTGAATGAAGGAAGCCATTCACAAAAAGACCACATGTCGTATGATTCAGCTTACACGGAACATCCAGAGCAGGCAGCTCTGCAGAGACAGAAAGCAGATCAGGGCTGGGCTTGTGACGGGTTGGGGGAGGAATGGGGAGCGGCCACTCCTAGGCACAGCTTTCTTTTCGGGTGCGGAAGATGCTCTGACATCGATGATGGTCATGGCTGCTCCATGTTCTAAAACCTGTGTGGTAACGGCTGTGACGTTGTGCTCCGAGACTCCGTTTCCAATCTGGAGGGAGGTGTTCCTTGTGCCTCCAGCAAGCGCTTCTCGGAGACCAGCTGGGCGTCTGAAAACTGGAGACTGAAGAGGCTCGGCCTCCGCCGCGGCCAGCGCCGAGGCCTGGGTCCTGGTGCCGGCAGGCAGGGGAAGGCAGGCCGACTGCACGGACCTTCGTGCAGCGGGCCTCTGGTGTGCCTATAAACACGCGGGCATACGCGTTGACCTTCACTGGAAGAGTGTGCAAAAGCGGACGTCATGGATACGTCCAGGCAGGGAGCAGGGCGTCCGGGATACTGAGGCGCGGAGAGGGAGACTTTCCTGTGGGCCCCTCTCCGCCTGCTGGTTTTGAACCACACCACTGTGTTGCCTGTAAGCAGTCACCAGGGAAGGAGCCGCGCCAGCCTCTGGGTTGGGATCAGCACAAGCTGAGCGCCGGGCATCGCCGCCTCTGGGTCTGGGCGTGTGGGTGGTGCTGACGGTGAGCGGCCTGGCCACGGGCCCGGGTGTGCACGGATTGTTAGAGGAGAGGGGCGGCTCCCTGCACGCCCCAGAGGAAGCTCCTGGTGGGACTCGCCGGCTCCCGCAGCTGGAGCGGCCCTGAACAGGACCCGCAGCCCATCCTCGCCCCCCAGGGCGGGCTCAGAGCCCGGGGATGGGGCCAGATGCCAGCTCATGGCTCGGCGGCCGGAGGGCAGGTCCTGCTCCTCAGGGCCTCAGTCTCCTCAGCTGCTAGAGGGGGTGACATGTGGCTCCATCACAGCTGCCGGGGGAGTGTGCGGCTGCCGCTGCGTGCGTGCAGAGGGCGCTGTGGGCGTGAGCGAGCGTTGCTCTGTCCCTCGCGAAGGCGACACTGCCCCAGGCGGGGAGCCTGGTGCTCCGGTGCCACCTGGCGTCCGGCTGTCTGGCTGGCTGCGCTCCCGTCATGAGCCGCTCGGGCTGGGCGCTCGGCAGCTGCTTGTGGATTCAAAAAGCATCTTCGTGCCTCGGAGCCAAATGCCACGAACACCTTGTTCCCTGCGCCAGGCAGTGGCTCAGCCATGGTGCCAAGGAAGTGACGGGAAGCTGTTGCTGTTTCGGGGGGCGGGGGGGAGGAGCACCCTGAAAAGGGTGTGAGCCTCGTTTCCGGCGGGGAAGCTGGTTCCCTCCTCCCTTCCTGCAGTCACGCTCTCATGTCCCAAAAGGACCCTGAGCTTCCTGAGGCCGGGCCTTGGGTTCAGTCTCTGCTGACACTGTAATCAGGACCTCGTTAAGGCCATGTGCCATCAGCCAGCAATCCTGGAAGAGCCCCTGTAAGTCCAGGAACAGCACGCCTTCAGCTCAGGTCCCTTTAGGACAACAGGCCAGCTTTGCCTGTCTGCCCGAGCCTCCCCCTCCCCCGCCCCCAACTCTCTCCTTGCTCATGCAAAGACAGCCAGCGTGCTCCATCCCTCACCACAAAGTATAGACAGGGAGGTGACACACACACACCAATAATTCTGGTGTGACTGGGGACTGGGAGAGCCCTGGACCATGGCTAGCTCTGCTGGAGGCTGAGGAAAAAGCTTCAGGGCGGAGGCGATATTTGTGCTGGGTTTTGAGATATAAATAGGAGTTCACCAAACAGTGAGTAGGAGGAAGGAAATTCCAGGCAGAGAGAACAGCCTTAGCAAAGACCACAGGTAGGAGATCATGGTGCTTTTGAAGAATGACGCACAATTTACTTCCCTTATTTATTTATTTATTTATTATTATTATTATTATTATAGATATATTTTTATTGATTTCAGAGAGGAAGGAAGAGGAGATAGAAGCATCAATTGATCTGGTTGAAGCCCACAACCAGGGCATGTGCCCTGATGACCTGGCTCCTAGGTTGCTGCTCAATCGCTGAGTCATGCTGGCTTGGCTGGCGCACAATTTAAAACGTAGGAATCGTCTATTTCTGGAATTTTCCATTTAATATTTTCAAAATGCAGTTGCCCAGAGGCAGCTAAAAACCATGGATAGCAAAACCACAGATGAGGGAGGATGAGTGTGATTTTCCTTTTATTTAATCTTCACATCTCTATTCGGGGCATGGAGAGGCCCCAGGTCCGTATTCACCGTGCCCGAACCCACGTAGCCCTGAAGGATAACAGCAGTTTGCGTTCTCTGGGAGGAAACACATTCTGTGGCGAAACGGCCTGCACAGCTGGGAGGCTATTTATAGTCTGTGGATGTGCTGGTGTGACTGCCATATTCTGCAGCGGGAGCCCAGTGCGTTTGGTTTGTCCCAGCCGCGCTCAGGGCAGCGTGTAGCTCTGTGGCCTGCACACCATATCACCCTCTGATAATGAAATCAGAAGTGAGCCCTGATTTCCCAAACCAGGCTGGCCCCGGGCGTGTGAATAAGGCAGCTGGGATCATACTGGAAGGAAGGCGCCCGCTCCCTCTCTCTGGCCGAAACCGCGTTCACCCGTCTGCACACTCAGACCTCCCTCCCGGCCCCCCGGCCCCAGCGGGTGCTTTCGCCTCCTGCTGTGCAGCCACCGGAGTCGCGAGGCAGGGGGAGGAGGGCACTGTGGCCTGGCGGGTGGTGACCTACAGTTCAGAAACTCCCCTGCCCTGACCTGCGAGCTCCAGTACTGTGAGCAGCTCATTTCCCCTTCAGGCCTCAGTTTACCCTTTCAGTAATCCCCGCCCCTGCCCGTTCCCCACACTTCTCTGTCCCTACCAGGCCGGAGGCAATGGCTGGATTGCATGCTGCTACGAGCCAGGCACGACTACAGGCTATCCATTTGGTTCTCAGTCACTCTGGGAGGGAGACTCGACTGTTATTCCCACTTTCCAGATAAGAAAACGGAGGCTCAGAGAACAGGCACTACCACTTGCCAAGTCCTCTCGGCCCAGGGAAGGTGGGAGTCGGATTGAGAGCTGGGTCTGTCTGACCCTGAAGCCACACTGGGTCCCCGCTTTGTGCTTTGCGTAACAAACAGTGAGAGGAGACGGGAAAGCTGAAACCGGTTTGGCTCAGCAGATAGAGTGTCGGTCTGCAGACTGAAAGGTCCCAGGTTCCATTCCGGTCAGGGGCATGTACCTTGGTTGCGGGCACATCCCCGGTAGGGGGGTGTGCAGGAGGCAACTGGTCGATGTTTCTCTCTCATCGACGTTTCTAGCTCTCTATCCCTCTTCCTTCCTCTCTGTGGGAAATCAATAAAATATATATTTTTGAAAATAAAAATAAACTATCAAGGAACGTACTGTGCACATGAGCGCGTCTGTCCTGTCCTACCTCAGCCTGGCAGTGGTCCTCTCTCAGGATGCTCCTGTGTCTGCGTTTCACCGGGGGACACGGTTCCAGGGTGAGGGGATGTCCCAGGTCACAGGGCCACCACCCTCTCCCCCTGCGCCCGCTGCCTCTGAGCGAGGAGAGGGGGGTCGGTGGGAACCCCATTGCCCGCGAATGACACCGTTACCGCGTGTCTCTTCTCTCCCCTGGCCGCCCCTCCCGCTCAGCTGGACAAGATGCTGGACCCGCAGGTGTGGCGGGAGGCGGCCACGCAGGTCTTCTTCGCCCTGGGGCTGGGCTTCGGCGGCGTCATCGCCTTCTCCAGCTACAACAAGCAGGACAACAACTGCCACTTCGACGCCGCCCTGGTGGCCCTGATCAACTTCTTCACCTCGGTGCTGGCCACCCTGGTGGTGTTCGCCGTGCTGGGCTTCAAGGCCAACATCATGAACGAGAAATGCGTGGTGGAGTAGGTGGCGCCTCCTCCTGCCTGTCTCCTCCTCCCTGTCCACCCTCCCTGCCAGGAGGGGCCGGCGGGCCGTGGGTGGGGAGTCCCTGTCCCCAGCCCTGGACCGCACGGGCAGAGGCCTCTGCTGCTGGCCAGCGGGCTCAGCCAGGGTGTGGGGGTGGCGCCCCCGGGTGCGTGCTCACTGCTGCCCCTTTAACTGTCCTTCTGCCCTCTGTGCTGCAGGAACGCCGAGAAGATCCTGGGGTACCTCCACTCCAACGTCCTGAGCCAGGACCTCATCCCCCCCCACGTCAACTTCTCCCACCTGACCACCCAGGACTACGCGGAGATGTACAAGGTCATCATGACCGTGAAGGAGGACCGCTTCTCCGCCCTGGGCCTGGACCCCTGCCAGCTGGAGGACGAGCTGGACAAGGTGAGGGGCGGGCAGGGCGGCGGACAGGCTGGGGGGGGGGGGGCAGAGAGCCACGGGGGACCCATTCATTTCCCTGGTGAGCAAGGACCTTATTTCTGTGTGTCCAGAGAGGGAGAGAGGAGAGGTATCGGCCCAAACCTCTGCCCCGAGGTCAGCTGAGCCCTGGTGAGCAGGGGCCCGGCATTCCTGCATTGTCCTCTACCCGCCCGTCCATCGGGACACCTGGGGTTTTATAAAACCCTGATACCCGGCCCTACCTGCCGACCAGCCCAATCATTGTCCTGGGCTGAGCCAGGCATCGGAGTTGTTAATGGCTCCGCTGTGCTCAGGGGCAGCCGGGCTGAGGTCACCACGTTCAGGCCCGGAGTTCAGGGCTGAGGGCAATCAGGGAAGGCTCCTCGGAGGAGGAGGAGAGCCTGGAGCCGGGTGTGTTGCTGAAAGGGAGCGCCTTCCTCTGACTCTCCCGGGTCCTGGTACACCTCGCAGACTCCAGACCCCACCGCTGAACCCCTTGTGGGGGGAGGATTCCGATGCAGACTCAGACCCGAGCCCTGCTGGCCAAGGTGGAGGGATGGAGGTGGGGTGGGGGCCGCTGGGAAGAGGGAGGAGTCCATCCTAAAGCTCTGGGGGCGGAGAGAACGGGGTGGGGGGGCGCCAGGGTGGACGAGGGCCCCCGCTGAGGCCTGGCCCCCGCGCGCCCCCGCAGTCCGTGCAGGGCACCGGCCTGGCCTTCATCGCCTTCACGGAGGCCATGACGCACTTCCCCGCCTCGCCGTTCTGGTCCGTCATGTTCTTCCTGATGCTCATCAACCTGGGCCTGGGCAGCATGATCGGCACCATGGCGGGCATCACCACGCCCATCATCGACACCTTCAAGGTGCCCAAGGAGATGTTCACAGGTACCTCCGGGCAGCCCCCCGCCGGCGGACGGGCGCCCTGGGGGGCGGCGGGCGGGGCGTAGCTCTGACGGAGAGGCCCCGGGCTCTGCCGGAGCCACTCCTGACCCTCGGGGCTGGGCCCGCTGCGGGGGGGGGGGGGGGGGGGGGCGGGGGGAGGTGGCGGGGAGGGCTGTGGGTCTGCAGGGGGGGAGGTGGGGGGGAGGGCTGTGGGTCTGCAGGGGGAGGGGAGGTTGGGGGGAGGGCTGTGGGTCTGCAGGGGGGAGGGGAGATTGGGGGGAGGGCTGTGGGTCTGCGGGGGGGAGGTGGGGGGGAGGGCTGTGGGTCTGCAGGGGGGGAGGTGGGGGGGAGGGCTATGGGTCTGCAGGGGGGGAGGTGGGGGGGAGGGCTGTGGGTCTGCAAGGGGAGAGGTGAGGGGGAGGGCTGTGGGTCTGCAGGGGGGGAGGTGGGGGGGAGGGCTGTGGGTCTGCAGGGGGGGAGGTGGGGGGGAGGGCTGTGGGTCTGCAGGGGGGGAGGTGGGGGGAGGGCTGTGGGTCTGCAGGTGGGGGGGAGGGCTGTGGGCCTGCTGTGGGGTGAGGGGGGGGAGGGCTGTGGGGCTGCAGGTGGGGGGGAGGGCTGTGGGCCCGCTGTGGGGTGAGGGGGGGAGGGCTGTGGGTCTGCAGGGGGGGAGGTAGGGGGGAGGGCTATGGGTCTGCAGGGGGGGAGGTGGGGGGAGGGCTGTGGGCCTGCTGTGGGGTGAGGGGGGGGGCTGTGGGTCTGCAGGGGGGGAGGTGGGGGGGAGGGCTGTGGGTCTGCCGGGGGGGAGGTGGGGGGAGGGCTGTGGGTCTGCAGGTGGGGGGGAGGGCTGTGGGCCTGCTGTGGGGTGAGGGGGGGAGGGCTGTGGGTCTGCAGGTGGGGGGGAGGGCTGTGGGCCCGCTGTGGGGTGAGGGGGGGAGGGCTGTGGGTCTGCAGGGGGGGAGGTAGGGGGGAGGGCTGTGGGTCTGCAGGGGGGGAGGTGGGGGGAGGGCTGTGGGCCTGCTGTGGGGGGAGGGGGGGGGCTGTGGGTCTGCAGGGGGGGAGGTGGGGGGGAGGGCTGTGGGTCTGCAGGGGGGGAGGTGGGGGAGAGGGCTGTGGGTCTGCAGGGGGGAGGTGGGGGGGAGGGCTGTGGGTCTGCAGGGGGGGAGGTGGGGGGGAGGGCTGTGGGTCTGCAGGGGGGGGGCAGGGGAGGGGCCTGGGTGCCCAGCACCCCGGGCCGCCCGCCCGCCCGCCCGCCCGCCCGCCGCGCCCCTGCCCCCACACCGGCCTCCGGCTCTCTGTAGTGGGCTGCTGTGTCTTTGCATTCTTCGTGGGGCTGTTGTTCGTCCAGCGCTCGGGGAACTACTTCGTCACCATGTTTGACGACTACTCGGCCACCCTGCCGCTCACCGTCATCGTCATCCTGGAGAACATCGCCGTGGCCTGGGTCTACGGGACCAAGAAGTAAGGGGCCGGGGGAGGGGGCGGCGGGAGGGGATCCCCTGGGAGCGCCCGAGGGGGCCCAGCCCAGGGTCAGGAAGCCAGAGCGGAGGTGCTCCCACAGACGGTGGAGAGAGGGAGGCTCAGAGAGGGCTCAGGGCCCGTCCTCACCCGAAGCTGCCTGAATGCTCACAGCACCTGTCCTGGGCACAGCTCCTCAGAATTCAGTGAAGCGTAAGCACCTAGAGAGAGTCATGGGTCAGCTGCCTCCGTACTGGGGATCGAGCCTGCAGTCCAGGCGCGTGCCCTGACCCGGAGCTGAACCGTGAGCTCCTGGTTCGTACCAGCCGGGCTCTTGCCTTACTGTTACTGCCGCACATTACGGGGTCTGGCTGTGGGTTTGATAACAACGGTAACTTCAAGGCAGCTCTGAGCGTACGTGGTATGAGTAGGGTGCCTTCGGGTGCAGGGCGATAGGAACGTCTCTGAGATTTAGTCAGTTGCTGGCAGTCACAGGAGCTGTTAACACAGCTGTGGCTGTTTGCATTTATAATAGGAGAAATGCAAGATTTTGGTTAGGTGTTGTGGAGGTAGGGATGATTTTTTAAATGTCACTCGTGGGCACAGTCTGCTAGCCACACACACACACACACACACACACACACACCCCTCCTCCCCACCCCGAATTCTACCCACAGGCAGGGTAGTTAGAAACCCCTAGCCAGGGCAGCCTTCTGGACACTAGGGAGGGGCACTTCCTCCTCTCTTCCAGCAGGGGGAGTCTAGAGTGAGTGAGGGTGAGGGCTGCCGGGGGCACAGAGCCCTCTGGTGCCCGCCCGCCAGGCAGAGTGTGCCCTGCGGGCTGTGTTATATCCTGGGTGGGTGTGGTCTGATGTGGTCAGAGGATCTGAGAGGAAGACGGCAGAGCCTGCCGGGAGGCCGGCGGCCACAGGTGACAGGCCGGGAGCGGTGAATGGGAAGAACGGGTGGGGTGGTCAGAGAAGGCTTCCCGGAGGAGGAGGAGGCCACGGGGGGGTGGGGGGGGGGAGAACACGCAGGCCAGCGCGGGTGCCAGCTGCCGGCCCTCTGCCGCCCCCCGCAGGTTCATGCAGGAGCTGACGGAGATGCTGGGCTTCCGGCCCTACCGCTTCTACTTCTACATGTGGAAGTTCGTGTCGCCCCTGTGCATGGCCGTGCTCACCACGGCCAGCGTCATCCAGCTGGCGGTCACGCCCCCGGGCTACAGCGCCTGGATCAGAGAGGAGGTGAGGGCGGCCGCCCGGGGACCTTCCCGGGCTGTGAATGCAACGGGGGATGGAGATCCATCCTAGTGGGGCAATCGCTGTGAGCCCGGCCCTGCGGGGGGCGCTGCACGCCTGGCGGTAACCTTCCCAACAGCCCAGGGCAGGAGCGGTGGCGTCACCCCTGGGGTGCAGACAGGGACACCGAGGGCCGAAAGGCTGACGCACCTTCCATCTTCCCACCCCGTGTTTTCCCGCCCCAGTGAGGGTGGAGCCACCCACGCTCTGTGCAGGTGTAGCCACGGGGGTGCAGAGGACGGCTCGCTCCGGGAGCAGCCCTGATGGCACCCTCATCTCTGCTGGTGCCCGGCGGCGGGCGGGGGGTGGGGAGAGGGTGGGAGAGGGCCCTGAGCGGGTGAGGTTGGCAGTGCCCAGCGTCGGCCTCACCGCCCCCCCCCCCCCGACGCCCCCCAGGCCGCCGAGCGCTACCTGTACTTCCCCGACTGGGCCATGGCGCTGCTGATCCTGCTCATCGTCCTGGCGACGCTGCCCATCCCCGTGGTGTTCGTGCTGCGGCACTTCCACCTGCTGGCCGACGGCTCCAACACGCTGTCCGTGTCCTACAAGAAGGGCCGCATGATGAAGGACATCTCCAACCTGGAGGAGAATGACGAGACCCGCTTCATCCTCAGCAAGGTGCCCAGCGAGGCGCCCTCGCCCATGCCCACCCACCGCTCCTACCTGGGGCCCGGCGGCACCTCGCCCCTGGAGCCCGGCGGCAACCCCAACGGACGCTACGGCAGCGGCTACCTCCTGGCCGGCACCCCGGAATCGGAGCTGTGACCGCCGCCCGCCACGCCCGCCCCTCGCCCCCGCCCCGCCGGGCCCTCCTCCGGGAGAGGGGCCCCCCTGCCTCGTCCCCAGCCCGTCCGTCCGCACCCCAGGCCTGGGGGGGGGGGCCCTGCCATCTAACCCTCCGAGGTCCATCACCCCACGGCCGCCGAGGACCGGGAACGGAGGGGAGACGCCCAGGGCCACTTACAGGTCACCCCCCCCTTCGCTCCCCCTAACCTGCTCCAGCGGATCTTGATCTCGGAGCCCTTGTGCTGCCCGGTGGTGGGGGGGGGGGTATCCCAGAGGCTGCCTGGCTGAAGGCGGGGGTGGGACAGATGTGCCAGGACCCGGGGCTCAGCGTGGGGTGGGGCTCCTTCGTGTGAGGCAGATGGTGCCCGGGCGGCGGGGGGTGGGGCTCTAGGTGGGATCTCCGATGTCCCAGGCCATGCCTGGCGGGTGGGGGGCTGGCGGTCAGGGGGTGCTCCTGCATCTTGCCTGGGAGGCCATGACGAGGTCCGAACCCCTCAGGCCTCCACCGGGGCTTAGTGTCTCCCTGTCCCCTCCCGGCCCCCGCAGCCCCATCCGGGAGCCTGAGTCCAGAGCACACGCGTCCACAGCACAATCGGGCGGTTTGGAGCACAATTGCAAAGCACATCCCCTCCTCTCACCTGGGACCCGACTTCCTAATGGCAGCTTCCCCCTGGAACGGGTTCCTGGAGTTCGGGGCCCTCGTCCAGGAAGCCTGGCACCCGGCAGAGAGGTCATCCCAGTGCCCTCTGGGGCACCTCCCCCCGCCCCCTCTGTTATGTAAGCACAGCTGCCCAGGCCGTGGCGGTCGGGGCCACAGACGGCGCTGTGGATGCTGAAGGCTGCCAAGGGGAGGGGCTGGGTGTCTGTGTCCCACCCCCACTCTTCCCTTCCACCTACCCTGGAACAGAACCTGACCAGAGAACATGTCTGCAGAGTGATGGGTGGGCCAGTGGAAGGATGGGTAGATGGGTGATGGATGGATGGATGGGCGGAGGGAAGGATGGATGGATGGATGGATGGGCGGAGGGAAGGATGGATAGATAGATGATGGGTAGGTGGGTGGATGAGTGGACAGATGGATGGACCAATGGGAGGATGGATGGATGGATGGATGGGCGGAGGGAAGGATGGGCGGGAGGATGGATGGATGGATAGGTGGACCAAGGGAAGGATGGATAGATAGATGATGGATGGGTGGGTGGATGGGTGGATGGATGGATGGACCAATGGGAGGATGGATGGATGGGCAGAGGGAAGGATGGGCGGAGTGAAGGATGGATGGATGGATGGACCAAGGGAAGGATGGATAGATAGACTATGGATGGGTGGGTGGATGAGTGGACGGATGGATGGACCAATGGGAGGATGGATGGATAGGTGGAGAGAAGGATGGGCGGAGGGATGGATGGATGGATGGATGGACCAAGGGAAGGATGGATAGATAGATGATGGATGGGTGGGTGGATGAGTGGACGGATGGATAGACCAATGGGAAGATGGATGGATGGATGGATGAAGGGAAGGTAGGTAGGAAGGAGGTTGGCTGGGACAGCAAACCTCTATGAGAGCTGTGGTGGGCAAGGAAGACCCAGGCCTGGGCGCCATGACAGAAGGTCCTGAGTCACTAGTGACTGACTGCTCTCAGCACTGGGGGGCAATGGGAGGACAGACTAGGCCCAGGTTCCCTCCTTTGCCCCTTCATTTCTTGCCCCCCCCCTTTTCTGGGGATCCATCCCCCCCTGCCCCTCCCTCCTCCCCCCTTTCTGGCCTCTCAGCCCTCCTGCCCTTCCTGTGAGGGGAGGGAGGCCACATCTCCCCAGAGACAGGAGCCTTTGGGGCATAACAGGCCGCCTGAGGCCCCTCCCCTGACAACACCCCCTCCCGGGCCCCCAGCTCAGCGGCAGGAAGAGCAAAGCCCGGGAGAGGGGCCCTATACATACTCCTCTGTGTATTCTGTTCCCATTGTACATGCAATCTGTACACGTGGGTGTACATACTGTTAAAGGACAACCCCATCTACTGTGGCTGCCGGACTATTTTCACCCTCAGTGCTGCACAGATCTATTTTCATTGTATATTTGATATATTTTTAATTTTGTAGCTTGTGGCCGGGCCGGGCCCCAGCCTGCCAGCCGGGGACGGGGGCGCGGTCCCCGCGGGCTGGCGCGCTCCTGGCCTCTGGCTGCGGCCGGGCCTGGCCGGCTCTGTCTCCGCTGTTAGTCGTAGGGCCCGGAGCTTGGCGTGCGAGCGTGTATGTGTGTGATGTGTGCACATCCGTGGGCGTGGGTGTGTGTGGGTGCTGATTCGTGAACCCGAGTCCCTCGTGTCCTGAAGCCCCTGCTGCCCTCCCCACCGCCCCCTCCTCTCAGCCAGGCCTCCGGGGCTGCAGGAGGCCTCTGCTGTGGGGAAAGCAGCCCACCCTTGCTGGTGACACCCTTGGGCTCCCAGAAACAGGGAAGGAGGGGCCGTGGGGAAGGAGCGTCCGATTCATGTTCCGGTCACCCTCTTGCTGTCTCCATGGGAGTTACATGCTCTTCCTCCTGACGGAAGGCCGGGCTCCTGAAGGGGTGGGATCCCCCCAGAGGGACCCTCACAGCGCCCCGCCCTGCACCTGTCTCTGAGCCGGTCCTGACCGTGTCAGAAGGGACCGGCCGCCTGTCACCTGCGCTGTTGACACACACACCTTTGCTCACTCCGCAGTGGGGCGAGGCTGGGGCCGGTGGGGCCTCTGGTGAGGTGAGACCCAGCCCTACATCCCCGCACAGGGTCCCCAGCCCCCCCCCCCTAGCATCGTAGGAGACAGCGGCCCCGGGGCGGGGTGTGCCTGAGAGAGTCCCGGTCCCCGCCCCTCAGCCTGATCACCAGCTTCTCGCTCAGGGAGCCGGCTCGCTGAGGCAGCTTGAAGCCCCAGGCCCGGAGCGGCCGGCCGCGGGGCACACAAGCTGATGCCAGGGAGCCTGGCTTTGCCCTCCAGCAATAAACCTGCGGAGACTGTGGCTTTCCTACGACCGGGAGGCGCCTCCTGGGCCGGCCTGCGCGGCCGTGAGGCTGGGGGCTGGAAGCTGGGTGGTCCCAGGCCAGCAGGGCTGGGTATTGCGGGCAGGGGCTGCCCTTCTGCCCATGCTCACAGCCGCACCCCTCCCCACGGAGAAGGGACTGAGCCCTGAGCACCCACGAGGCCCCCAAGCGGGACCCACCGCCTCCTCCCTGAGGCCTAGTACTGGGCCCAGGGCCCCTCCTCACCCCGAGCGCCGCTTGGTACAGGCCCACGTGCATACGGCGAGCATCGCTTTAGGTCCTGGAGCAAGTTCATGGCTAGCAGAGCCCTGGGTAGGTCAAGGCCACTCGGCCCAGGGGAGGGGACGAGGCATTGTCACCCCGGAGCCCCCTTCCTCTCCGCTCCCCCCATGGTGTGCAATAAAGTGTCTGTTCTTACCAACCCCCTCTTGCCTTTCTGATGTGCCAGGATCAGGGACGGGACGGGCAGCATTGAGGTAACAGCTTGGATGGGAGCTGAGGGGGCTGTGGGTGTGGCTGGCTGGGGCTTGGGGAGGAGGGGGAGGAGGAGGGACATGTATTTATTCTCCAAGAATTGTCTGGGTGTCCTTGAAGCAGGCCCTTGGGCTCCGAGGACTCTACACACCCACTCCCATTGGACGTTCACAACAGCTATCAAAACACTGGACTTAGGCACCCCAGCACCCCTCCCCAGCCAGGAATGAGCGAGCTGCCAGCCAAGGTCCCCCCACCAGGGACTCCCATTTCCTTCTCCAGCCAGAGGAGACGGTGTTGTTCCAGGAACGGCCAGCAGGTGGCAGGAGAACCTTTCTATCCACAGCTTGGTCCCCTGGCCTTCCGTCACTTACTCCTTTGTGGACCGGTCTATTGGTTGAATAAACAAACACTCATTTTTATAATTGATTTTGTTTTTAGAGAGAGGAAGGGAGGGAGAGAGAGAGAAAACCATCGATTTGCTCTTCCAATTACTTATGCATTAATTGGTTGATGTGCCCTGGGAAGGGAGGCGGAGTGGGGCAGAGATTGAACCCAGCGACCTTGGCCTCGTGGGACGGTGCCCTAACCATTGAGCTACCCAGCCAGGGCTGAACAAACATCTATTAAGCATCCACGGTAACAGGCTCCGCGCCCGCTATGGCTACACGAGGATAAGTAAATCATTCCCATTGTCCTGAGTTGGGGAAAGGGAAGGGAGCCCCTTCTCCCCCCACTCTCCTCCGACCCCAAATCTCCCCATGTGTCTCTCCAACAGCGGAACGTCTTGGTGCTGGAACTGTCGCGCCTTGAGAATGTATTCCACCCTGTGGTTGAAGGTGACGCGTTTGGTTGAAATGTCAACCCTCCCATCAGGAGGGACACACAGACCCCCTAAGGGGCCGTCTAACACGAGCTTGGGTCTGAGGGAGCGGGGAGCCAGACTTCCCAAGTTCAAGTTCAAATGCCAGCTAGGCCTCCTGCTTACCTTTCCTCGTCTGTGAAACAAGGAAAAGGAATGGACTGAAACGAGACAAGCATAGTGCTGTGTTCAGGTCACCCCAAACCTTAGCGGGTTAACACAGAGTTTTATTCTGTCCCATGGTGGTGTGAGTGAGGGGTTCGGGCAGGGTTTGTCTCAGTGGCTCTCCTGGTATCAGCTGAGGTCAGACAGGCTGGGCTGAGGGCCCACAGCCGCCTCGCTCCTGCTCATCCGGACAATGGCTGCAAGGCGGGGCTCAGGGTGTCACCAGGGGGCGCCTGCACCGGCCTCGGGAGCATCTCTTACCTCCGGGTGGCAGCCTCCTTCTGGGACGGCTTAGGGTGCCCGAGAGGCCATTTCCAGGGACAAGAGGTGCCCCCTCCCTCTGCCTTCCCTCCCCCCTCCCTCATCAGGCCCAAGCGCTCTGAGTGCCCAGGACTGGGCTCAGCGCTGAGAAGAATCCCATACAAAGAAGGACTGGGCAGGGCCTGCCTGGCACAGGCCTCACCCCCCGAGCTGGCACGTCTGCCCCTCATGCCACGGGGCCAGGCCACCACTGGGTCCTTCACTCACACCGTCTTCTATTGGAGGGAACCTGGGACGTGGGGAGACCACGTCTGTCCCTCCACAACAGACACACCCTTGTCGGGGTCACCCCCCGCCTGGCACAGAGCAGCGCGGGGTGGGAAGACGGGGCTGGGGCCGGCTGTGTGCTGGGCCTCTGTTCTCCCCACGCTGCCCTGGGCTCCGGGAGGACCCACAGGAGCCGGGCCAGGACACTGCGGGAGGGCCCGCCCATGAGGGCCGATGGCCTGCTTAATGGGATGAACGGGTCCCGCTGGGACTCCGCCCAGGTGGGAGGAATGGAGGTGGAGACGCGCCGAGTGCCGAGTCTTGCAGGCGGGGCCCGGAGCTAAGGTACGTGCGTGTGCTCTGGACGGAGGCTGGGCGCTGGGCCCCTCAGCCGGCCCCGGCCCTGTGGCTCCCGCGAACCAGAGGCCACGTGGGCCCCTGGGTCGCTCGCTGCCCTCAGCCCAGCCCCGGGCGCAGCTCAGTCCCCAGAGCTCACGGCTGCTCCTGCGGCCGGAAACCTCTCAAGGTGGACGTGCCTGGGAGCAGGTCCTCTGGCCCCTCACAGCCCCTGGATTCCAAGTCCGCGCTTTGCAAAGCTCTGAGTCCTGGCCGGGCCTGAGCATGCGGCCTGCACCCTTCTGGCCCTTCCCCTTTAAGAGCTGGGCCATCGAGGCCATCTTCGGGGCTCCCCGGAGCCCCACATGCATCTCCACTACGGTTTTCACAGCCACCCGAACCCTGCCGTCAGCCCTGCGCAGAGCCGCTCGGCTGACCTCCCCGGGGCCCAGGGCTGCGCTCCACGCTGGTCCTCCCCAGACCGGCCTGGGCAGGCGCTCAGCGGGTGGGTTGGAGCCTGCGTGTCCCTGTGGGGCCCCAGAGGTGGGGTGGGGTTAAATAAACTGATAAGCAGTGCGGAGGCTGGCAGCCTCCTCTCACCCTGCCTTCCCTCCTCCGTCCCCCATCGCCCTCCCCTCCGTGGTGATGGCTGATAAAGCAACTCAA